GTTCAAAAATTAGTTTCGTTGTTACCTTTTTTGAGGGGTATTCTTTGAGCCATTTTCTTCAAAACGCGGGTTTTCTTAGGTTTCACTGCCCGTAACTTCTTGGAAGACCAATGTCATGTTTAACTTAGGATGTGCTAGAAAGCTTCGAGCATGCGCTTGCACTACATCCCTTGCCTTGGTGCGCGCCACGCCTCGGGCGCCCTTCTAATTCGCTGATTCATTTGAAAGCTCATTTAGAGGGAAGCGTGGTTTATAGATGCTCTAGTATCAGTCATCTTACGAAAACGTAACGTGCTGGCTATTATCCGATATTACCAAGAATCCCACTGCCGGCCACCGAGAGAGTACGACCCCCCCCTCCAAGCTCAACTGAGTACGACCCCCCCCCCGTTGTTACTCGTAACAACGTAGGGTTGACCCTGGTGGTGCGTGGCTGGCATAACGTGTGAAATCAGCTAGGTTGATTGCCGTATCAACCGATAGAACGACTGACATCTCCAGAAAACTTGTTTGTACGTGCCTCTTTCCCAAGCCAGCCTCCTTCACTGCTAGTGGGAAAGAGGGTTTTGTTAACGGCCTTGTCGACGGTTTTTCTCAGTTTTTTCTCCACTGTCGTTCCACTTCGCATCTCTATACTCAGTTTCAATCGCCATAATACCCCTTATTGAGCCCGACTTTTGCCTTTAAGTGCACGTCATTTCCGGTAACAGCCTACCCCAACTTTGGGATATCGACTGTATTTATGATCATCCGAAAAGTGAGTTTTATCCGAAAAGCACCAGGAACAACACAATCAACAATCCAATCTCGCAGGTCCTTCGAGTTAGTTCCTACCAAGGGGCATTATCTTTGACATCCGGCTTTCGCAAAGACGACACCGTGTAATAATTTCGCCAGTGGATTTTTAAGTGATTCTCGGAAAAATTTCGACAGAACGTGAAAAAGATGAGCGCATCATTACTACGACATTCTCCAAAAAAACTAGTTCCACCAGTTTTTCAACCCGCAAAGCCAAGGTACCATAAATTACCGTAGCCACGTCAATGCAAGCAATCATATATTACTTGTTCCGTTAAAATTCCTAAAAACACTCCAATGCGAACAACACTACTAAATACATTTACTCATACGAAACGTATACAACACCACGATTTGAGACCCGCAGCGAGAATTTATCGAGAAACAGAGTAAGAAAGAGAGTGACCCTAACTTTGATCTATTTCATTCTATGAGATTAAGCTTTATGACGAGAATTTGGTCTGGGCTATCACAGTGGAATGACCAGACATTCAAAGCAGCATCACTGGGCATGAGAAGCGGTAACTGAAGAGAAGAATAAAAGATCGAGGCTCATTCTAGCATTCAAAAGAGGC